TTCGTTAAAATTTCTTTTAAAAAAATAAAAGAATTATTTATTTAACATTGAATACCAGAAGCTGTGAAATGTTTTACAAGATGGAAGGGACTCGGACGTAAATACACCATCATGTGTTCAAAGACATGGTCAAATTTTGTACTTTGATAGTAGCTGTCTCCACTCTGAGGTGCTTAACAGACTTTCGAATCCTTTCTTCTTGTTACACTTAAAATATAACAGTTGGTTTTTAAGATGTCAAAATGTACATGTGTTTAAATGGTGTTTTTTAAATTTTGTTAGCATCAGTTCTGAGACTGACTAATGAACAGGTGCAATCATGGCAGACTAGCTTATTCTTAGATAATATGTTTGCCAAAATATATAAATAAATTAGTTAAATTTGAATAGAATTAAAAATATTCCAAATTACTTTTTAAAACAAACTGTACATAGATAAATTGATGCAACCATTTGCCTACAAAATGTGTGCCATAATTGAACCCACTTAAAAATTAATGTCAGTAATTCAGAAAAAAATGTGTAAAGTGGGAATAACTTTAACTTTAAGAAGCATTAGTTAGTGGGATAGCTTTAACTTTGATATCAATAAAAAAAAAGAGAATGAATAGGGGAACAGGAAACATTTAAAACTACCGGTAAATAAAATATTACTTTTATCAGTTAAATTCATGGTAAGTGATTCCACTTATTTAGTTCACTCTCATGTTAAGTAATTCCCAAAAATACTAGTAACTCCTGATAAAATTGCCATTCCACCAGATAAAGTTTTCTAATATTTTTAAAATTAAAGTGCAGTTAAAATTAGGCTCAGCGAAACCAATTATGACATCACTGAGCCGAGTTATGACATGTTCTGAAGAGCCAGTTTTGAAGGCTGATGTTATGGCACATCAAAACTGATGTATTGATCACATAATTAATCTACAATCACAGGAAAAAAATAGTCATTCAGATCTGTGGCATCTAATCAAAACATGAACATCTTCATTACAGATTGTTTCCATAGATTTTTATCAGATTTTTAAAATTTGTTTGTTATAACATTAACATCAGATAGTTACTAGAGATCAGATCAACATGCATATTTTTAAAATAACTGACATTTTGTTGTAAATGTAAGTTAATACCTCAGGAAATCAGAATACAAAATTGATATGGCCATTTCAAAATGACTGTTAATTCTTTTAGGTGTCACCGATATAATTTGCAGTTCATTTTTAAAAAAATTCCTAATGTAATCTTGTCAAGAAATAAATTTTATGAACACACTCTTCTACTACTTCTAGTTCATACCTTCGGAGGGTGGATTTGGTTGTTTTAAAAAATCATTGTATCACAAACATTGGTACCCCGGTATATGAGTGATATGATAATTTTTTGGATGTAATTAGAAAATGAATTATAAAAACACTTAAATCATTGTATTAAAAATGGACTAATTTTAAATGTTACACACTAATGGGGATAAGGGAAAGTGTCCAGCTAAGGAATGAAGTTGGAACAAACCAGGGAAAAGTTAGAAACAACCCAGGTGTGAAATGCCTAGATGTTTTGTCAACTGCCCCATGATAGGAGACAGTCAGAGGTGACCTGACATAGACCATGACAGTATATGTACTGATTTTGAAAAAATAACAGTGGGTACAAATGATTATATCATATAACTTTATTAAACACATTATAATTAATAATACGTCAATCCATTAAAAAGTTCAACATGAACATGGTCATTATTCATAATGTATGGTTTAATTTGTAATGATTTGATCATCTAAAAAAATTTCATTACTTCCCAAACATATTTTAGTTTTAGATATTGATCAGAGATAAAAACTTTCACCAAGTTTTATAACTTACTAAGTAGGCCCAGACATTACATTATGATAGAACAGATCTCAATAACAAAATTCTTATTGAAATCTTAGAGCCACAACATCCATGTAGCATTGTGCTACAAAGGAGACACTTTATTTTTATTATTTATTTATCTTATTTTATTTACTTTTATAAAATTCAAAACATGATGTAATGCTGTCTTAATTTATATTTGTGGTTTATTTTAAGTAATGCACTTTACTTCTAATTATTTACCATATTTTAAAAAGCCAAAGTCACCCTTGGATGCAGTGTTATTTGTGGCATCAGCTTGCTTCAGGGCACTGCTGTGTCTAGACCTCACTGAAGCAATTTTTACTTATAAAAGCTCATTACAAATTACAGTTTACATAATTATCAGTACCGGTAACAAAATAAAATAATCAGCTCCACTTTATGTAATTTTAAATGATTAATACAACCTGTATTTCAAAATTCAGCAAACATAATTTACAGACAACAGTAATTTTGACATAAACTAATAAAAGAAAGGTGGTCACAAAGACCCAATGCAATATCCATATACTTCTTACTTATCTTCATTTTGTTTGAATCTGCCAGGCTTAATTTGACATACACCGGTACATAGTACAATACTAGCTATTGTGCTATAATCTCAGCATTAACTAGCTTATACAAAACATAAACAGGAGGGCTTACAGTGTTATATCTATATGCTTTTTGACTTGCTGCAGTGCTCTTCATTAAAAATTATCAGAAATTACTAGAAGGAGTTAAAAATGTAGTGAGTTACTTTGTCAATAAATGAAGTTCACCAAAGGACTGGCCCACATATTTAAAAGCTACCGTCAATCCTAAATAAGTATTATCAACAGTAAAATTTTAAAAGTTAGGTAAATAGTAATATAAATTCCTTGAATTATTTAAGAAATATTTAACTAAAATGGGAAAACCCAACAGTTACTGACTGATAAGTGAACCGAAAAAAAATTCAAATGTAACTGACACATGACATGATAACTATACCACAGTCACGGTACGTATTCTACATAAGTACCGGTACAACAAAACCTTCTTTCTGCTTTTAGGACTAAAAAAAAAAAACAAAACAAAAAAAAGGACTGTTTATAGCTGTGGAAACGGCATATGACACACTGTAAAATATAGCTGTTCTAAACCCAGAAATGTTTAGAAATAGAAGAGCATGCTATTTAGCGGATCGAGCCATAAATTGGAATTTAGCCTGCTGGAATTAGATGCATATTTACAAAGCAGCCATCAAAACTGATACATTTTAAACTCCAGAGTTAAATAGATGGGATTTGGCTTTACAAGAATTTAATTTGGCTTATAATACTATGACTGACTCTTGTCCAGACAATAGAAGATTAATACTAGTATTTACTAGGTAATTTGGATAAAATTTTATTAGGGATTTTAATTTTCATAAGAAATGCTAAAGGCAATGTCTTAGTGTCATTATTTCTGTCTAGAAGGTTAACTCTTAATTTTTCAGAACTCAAGGACTCCATGTCAATTAAATTCTCCTTGTCCACATCAACATTGAATAGCTGGCAAAAAATAATGGGTGTTATGCAGGTTGACAATTAGAGTGAGGCTGGATAAATAAACCATACAAATTAAAAGTTGTATTGACGCAGTTGAGTGTCTATGAAGACATGTAAAGAATAACAAATTTTCTTGATATTAATCTACAGGCCATTTGTATGTCATAGCATCCATGTAGTTTATGCCATGTTATAATTAACTATAACACTTTTGGGAATTAAAGCTTAGTAGACAATAGTCAAAAATAAAACTCCTTGTATAAGTATGCCAAGAAAATTGTTTTCAATATGTTTGAAGTGATAAAATGTGCTTTTAAAAATATGTGTATTGTAAATGTAAAATGTAAAGAAACCCATTGGGAGCATTCTTCTTGGGTGTTCTTTCCCAAGTGGGATTGATTGACAAGAAGCTATGTTGATTTGGAGATGGTATAAAGGATGACTAACACACATTTTATTTTGTTGCTTACAGTTACAGATGTATTTGACCTGTGGACTTTATAAAACCTAAGTCAAATAAATGAATTATAGTTTTGTATTCATAATATGGGGAAGCCCGTATATAAAGAACAGAAATATATGTATATATTTACACTAAAATTGTGACATCAAGGCAGTAGTTATGAGGGTGTGCTCCTTTATTTTTAAAAATGTCTTGATGCAGATCTAATTGTTGCTATTTTACTTCCGTTTATTCCTCTTTTAATCATATTTGTTGAGCGTCTGAAAACCCCTTGAACACAGAATTCAACAATTTTCCTAAAACATCTCAGTGAATTGGTCTTTCCATTGCAATTACTAACAAAGTTACAGGTAATTGTTACTAAAAACATAATACATGCAAATGAATTAATCTCTTCAGTTATTTCAAACTGAAAAAATATTTTTTGTTACCCTTTTTCTCAAATCAATTTACATGGACTGAGTTAGAGTTAACAGTACAACTATTAATAATGCATAAAACAATTTAAAAATCCAGAGGGAAACAAGACATGGTAAACTGTAATAGGGATAAAAGAAAATATATTGATTTTCCTGGTGGTGATTCATTGCAAGGTTTCAGAAATGATGCATTTGATCAAACAAATATATTAATACGGTAGCACAATAATTGAGCATACAGTCATACAAATCTTAATTCCAATGGCACAGCTGCTTAAAGACAAAACACCAAAGATAACTTCAGTTTGATGCAAAACACAAACTAAGAAAAAAAGATGAAAAATAACAATGATGAATGGAGACCTAAATCTGCATTTGTAGATTTTACATGATGCATATTGCAATAACAATATCTCAATGATGCAATACTTGAAAAACTTACTCAAAACTAGGACCGTGTGAATTTTTAAGCCATCTTTTGTCACTCAGATTTGCCAATTCTTTTAATCAACTTACATTAACTTAAATGCTGTTTGTCTCTTAAGTTACACAGCTAACATCTATCATAAGTATGGCCTTATTTTTTACTAAAAGGCAAAAACCATTTTATTCAATCCTGAACAATTATTAAATGTTGTATAGCATTTAAATGTTTACAAAAAACAAATGGGATGTTGATTAAAACCAATAAAAACACACTGACTATAATGTCATCATGAATACAGAAAAATTGAATTAAAAATATTAAAATGAACAAAAATTATATTAAAAATTATAATCATATTAAAAAGCTGGGCTGCACACATGTTGGGCAAATAGTTCTACACAATTTTAAAAGCAGTGCATACGATTCTGTAAAATTAATGAATATTTGAACATTTATGTGCATCACTAACCCATAACAAATAAAAATTCTCCAGCTGCATTTTAGTTTAAATCTATAGATCGAATTATCTTGTGCCTGGGTTTAATTGTAACCCTGCAATCATAAAGTTTCATTCAACCCACCAGCCTTTTTTAGCTTGGAGCTTTTAGTATCCACCTGAGAAGAACTGAGAAAAAACAGCACAAACACTTAAGTTAGAAAAGGATAGACAATGGTTAAAAAGTCTTGCTATATATAATATAACAAAATGCATCAATCATAAAAGTAAATACCCTGTATACGTAAATTGGGTTTTTAACCAACACCATAAATCAGTACAAAGAGACTCTCCGCATTGGGTATAGTGGAGAAACAAATAAAAAATTCACTCACCTGACACTGACAGATGTCTGCAAATAATTTTTAATATTTGCTTTGTCCTTTTTTGGTGTCTTTTTAGACAGACCCAATGTCGACAAATCATCATCAATATTTTTCTCCTTTTTTGGTGTCTTCCTTGGAACACCCGCCTCCAGTTGACTATTATCCACTTTCTCTTGCTTTTTTGGTGATTTCTTTGGAACATAAGCCGCCAACAGGCTGTCATTTATTTCATCATTCTCCGGCTTTTCTGGTGACTTTTCATTTTCTTCTTTTAGGGGACTTGCTTGTACCCTTTTTTTTTTAGCAGGGGAACCTACTTCCTGGGTTTCGCTGTTTGACATTTCTTCAACCTGAACTTTCCTCTTCTTTATACTTCCATTACTCACTTGGGAAGGGGGTATTTCTTCATCAGATTCATCTGATGCCTTCTTTGTTTTCTTTGATGTAGAAAAGAGGGATGACAGTTGAAGCTGCTTGTAAACAGTTACATCTTTGGGCCCAAGAGTAGCTGGCTTCCTGCTCAATTTGGCACCTGTAAGGATTTTCTAAATACAAAAAAAATTAAAAGGTAAGTTCACTCGTCATAATTTGTTACTAAGAAATTTTCTCAATCTTATCATATATATATATATCTTATCTTCATAAATTGTTACTAAGAAATTTTCTTAATCATATCATATATATATATAAGTAAAAATGTGTGTGTCTGTCTGTGTGTTCCACAAAGGCTTTTACATGGATTGAAGGATCTTGACCAAACATGGCACATATATCCATCATTATCCAGAAGGAACTCTTAAGGGGATATGAACTTTTTATAACATTCCATTTTGGGCCGGTTTTTTCTATAAGAGCTATATAAATAAAATTACTAAAAAATACTCCTACATGGATAGATGGATCTTGACCAATCTTAGAATACATACACTTTATTATCAATATTCAAATACCAAAGGGTAATGAACTCATAATATCCATTCCTCTGGGGCCCCCCTCATTTCATTTTTCCTTATATAAGCTATATAAATATCAATAGCCTTAATACTCCTACATGAATAGATGGATCTTGACCAAACTTAGTACACATACACTTGATTATCCATATTCAAATACTGAAGGGTACTGAACTCATAATATCCATTCTTCTTCTAGAGTGTTCCAGAAGGTTCTATATTATTCTATTGGGATATATAATGGGATCTAAAAGCTTATTTGAAATAAATTGCACTGAGCATGATCCCATAGAGGAAAAGGATCCCAATGGGAAACAAGACCCAACAGTAAACCGGAACCCATTGGTAACGCGATCCCATCGGGTAACGGTTATCAAACTGCGATGGGGATTGCAGACCTGTTTACTTTTACGATTTTGGCGTACAATGTACGGTTTTCATGTGTATAAATTATATATGATGTATGTTTATTTTTTTTACTATTAAGATACTGTATTGAAAGATTTTGTGATGATATTGTACGATTTTAAGAGTTTGAGGGTAAACAGGTCTGCTATGGGACACGGGATAACATCGGAAAATGGGGTCCCTAGGTGGAAAGGGATCCCACAGAGGATGGTATCCTAACGGGATCGGTAGCCCACTGGGATTGGGATCCACCAAGATTGGGATCCTACTGAGATTGAGATACCCATGGGATCGGGATAACACCGCTATCTGGATTACCCCTGGATCCGGAGCCACAAGAAAACAGGATCCCACCAGGAAACGGGACTGCATCAGGATCCGTGTCAGAATGTGATTGGGGTCCTTGATGGGAAAGGTTTCCCATCAGGATGAGGTCCTAACACAATCCCAGGCCACGCCGGGTATATTAGCTAGTAAATAATAAATTATACATTGTTTTTACTTTTCTAAGTTAAATAAAAATTCTCCATCAACTCCCACAATTATATTCACTAGCTCCTCTTAACTGGTTAACCACCATGAGCTGGGAGCGGCTCAGCATTTCTTTCGCTATGGCCATGAGTCGCTGGTAGCGCCAATGGTTTTATCGTAATAAAACTAGTCAAATATTTATATTATCCCGTTCCTATTTCAGTTCGAGATTTTAATTTTCCTTCCAGGATGTTTATTTTTGGAACCACATGCTATTGGCAGAAGGTTTTAAAAAACGAGCTGTTAATTAATTTTGATTTAATTTCCAAGCTAGTTACAAAATTGTAAAACTAGTTTAACGTGGCAACAAGAGACAAGGTTACTAAAGGCATATGTTACTGGAAGTGTAAATATTATTCAATTTCTCTGTTCTTTGGCGCAATTTTCTTATTATTGGATATAATATTTGGAAACCACTAAATTAAAGGCTATATATAAAATTTATCGGCACATTTATAAATTTTGTACGATTTTTCTGTTGCAATTACGGTACTAATTTAACAATTAATAATTTCCAAACAAAATTTAAATTTACAAATGTTTTACCTTTATCTAATAGACAATTTAATTTCCTAAAACGTGGATAATTACTCATTAGAATATGTTTATAATTAAGCTGAATGCACCTGCAATGAGAAAATTTTAAATTTAATTCGGCCACAGCCGGGTTTTCAATCTGGTAGTTTATCAGTTAAAACGCAACAGTGGATGCACACTCTGTATTAATTCCAAGTGAAATCTGTCATTTTTCAATAAATGACAACCAAAAATAACTTGGTAACAGGGTGGATAACATTAAAACAGTGTCCTGTTTAACTGTGCCCACAACCCTATTGAAATGTACATACATTTGCTTTTTTCCTAGACTAAATTTCACCCATAATCTTTAAATCATCCCTGTATTGGGTGTGTGCCCCATGATGAGAACCGCAAGCCTGGACAGATTTTCTCCATTCTGACTGACACCAGTTACAAAATATGTTGAAAATCCTGTTGTGAACTAGATTTGAGGGGTGAATGTTTGGTATGGAAAATGATATTTGGTGTAGAGAGTATATGTGAAGCTGTAGCTATATGCTGGGATTTTGTGACTTATTTGGGTAAGGGGAAATGTGTTGGTGTTATGGTTTTTGGAATGATATTATATTTAATAAAAGTGATGTTTGATTCATGAAGCAATGGTTTGTTGAGCAATTGTACCCAAGACAACGAAGCTAATGAACTGGCATTTCCCGGTTCGTAACAGATCCATTCTAATCAGATATAGTGTACTCTATACATTAATCTCGCAAAGTGAAAATAAATCAATGTCATAGAAATATTTTCAAAAAGTTTAAATTAAAATTTGTTATTACTCACTGCATAGGGTCTCATTGCCTCTATGGGGTTTAATTGACTCTGCTTGTCATTTTCAGACAGTGAATCATAATACTCTACATATTTCTCTGCATAACTCTGAACCTCCTGTTGGAAAATGAGACACGTTAAATTACACAAATTAGTAAGAATCAAGTAAAGTATTATTTGAACTTCTGTCTGCATACAAGTTTCAGAGTCAACACTGCTTCCTCTTTCCTAAGAAGCAGAATACTTGCATGTGAAAAGGAGGTCAAACTTTCTTCATTACCGCAACACAAAACTGTTAATGAATTTGTAATATATAAATTGTTTTCATGGCTATCTACAGCCAGCTATTCATTACACATTAAATATATACTCATTATATATGTGACATTCCTTTTTAATAAATGAAAACTTACAAGAATTTAACAGAAATGTTGTAAAATGTATCTACAAGCAAAATATTGTCCTAAACTTTTATCAAGCAATATAGTAGGACTTTGTCATTGCAGATTTATAACCATAACTGGTAAGATTATGACCATTTTGTGGAGTAAGTAAATTATATGGCCCTCTACTTCTGACTTGTGCCAAGTTATTCTTTTCTACGGTCATGATCTATTGGAGCTTTTAAAAAGCTGTTTAATTTATCCTGCCACTTAATCCACAGTTGTGGACAACCACAGGAGAATATTAATCCTTCATTTGAGAGGTAGTCAAGATTCCCATAGAACCATCCATTTGAGTTTGAACTGTACAAAGTTAATTTTCAACCTAAAACAATATTTAAAAACACAATATTTAGACATCTCTCTGACCTGCCTCAAAGCTGTTTCCAGATTATCCAGCTCCACCTCTGTAAGCTTGTGATAGAGGGAGGAGAGTACTTTACTTTTCTCTGAGAAATCCTTATCAGCCACAGTAGACCTCTTCGATTCACAGAAATATTGATAAAGATTTCTATAAGACAGGAAAAAAAAATGGTAAGAAATTCGATAAGTGAAATAATCAGCAGATTAGAAGCCTTTGAATGTTACAAGTGTCTTGAAAATGACTGAGCTGCTAGAAAAGTATAAATCATCCACTGCCTAATTTCCTAATTTTGTGTATACTATAAAAATGAATGTGTGAGACTTGCTTGGCACTGTTATGAATTGAAAAAAATGGGTTACAAGATCTCCTCCAAACAAGAAGCCCTTTGACATAATAGGTATTTCAGAATATAACAATTATTAAATTCATCCCAACAGGGGCATTCAATCTCTTCACTAAGTTAGCAAGCTTCTCCAAATAAAATAGAGATTGGCACTAAAACATTAAACAAAATAATTTAGTGTAACTATCCAAGTTGAGGGTATCTGTTGTCATTTTATGCCCACCCAGACTCAAAGTTTTTGTTTATGAAATCTGTTTTACTGTATTGGCTGGCAGTGTTATTTTCCCCTTTTTTTTCTTGTTTTTTGTTTTGTTTTGAATACAAGTTTTTTTTAAAAAAAGCCTGATTATTTTGAATATAATTGCAAACAGCCTTGAGGAGAAAATAGATTTATAAAATGACATGATAATGAGAGAACATTTTACATTTATAAAAATAGTTAATGATTATGTATATTATGCTTTAAAATAAACATGTAAATACTTAGCAGGGGCTGGAGGCTTTCCCATTGATTCATCAAAGATTCTCTGTTCATCTTTCGTCAAATGAAACTGTTGGGGTTTAAATGAACCATGATGACTTGACCTATAACTTTCAACATCTTTCTGGAAATAAACAAACCATGTAAAACTTATCTCTTGTTAAAATCTTTTTAAAAAATGAACAGACAAGGAATTGTATTATAACAGTTAGTAGAAAATAATGTTTTACTTCATGTTAAGACACCGTAAATTAGTTTTTAACTTGGAGAAAAAACAAACCTCATATTCTTGCATTTGATCTTTACCCTTGATAATCCACTTGAGTTTTCTGTGATCAGACAGCTTCTCATACTTTTTCAGGCATGCTTTAAAGGCTTCCAAATGATTTAACTGAAAAATAAAGTATTATTTTATAAAGAAATTAGCATTGTTAAAACAGAAAATATAAAAAACTTTTATATTTAAAAAAATCAGAAAACATTTTTTTGTACATTATTTATCTCTTGCTTCCCAGTTAATTCCTGGATAATTTCTACACCCTGTTTTAAAGGTGATCTAAAAGCAAATGCATTCCAAAGAAAAAGTCCCCTAAAGGAAGAGGGGGTATTAAAAATCGTACTGCTATTTTTGTGCCTTTCTAAAAATAGATTTCAAAGCCCCTCTCAGAACCTATAAAATATGCCGAAATCTATTTTGCTGCGATGAACAGTTTTGACAATGCATTCTCTAGTTTTGTTTCTGCACACAGCACGGTTCAACCCTAATCCATGGTGCAAAGAGTAACTCACTTGAGTAATTTAAGTTTGTAGTTACTAGATGGCGCTTAAGGACCTGCATACATGATTTATTTATTTTTACCCAACCCTTTATTTTATTTTGCTTTTTGTATTTGTTATTTCGCAGTGTACTTGTAAAAATTTAACAAAGGGAGCCTGTTGAAAACCTAAATTTGGCAAAGGCGCCAGGAACTAACTAATTTTAGAACCACTGGCATAACCCAATGAAATAGATGTCACAAGCATGGTGGACATACAGTGGAATAAATATTACTGTAATACCTCTACAACTAGAGTTTTTGAATAACATGCCATTTATAGTGGCAATTATTTAGACCCCACTTCCAGACACACCCGTAGACAAAATCTCCTAAATCAACACCACTCAATTCCCCTTTCAGGCCAAATGTAATATAATTATAGACGGTCTCCAACCAATTGTATTTCTAGATCAATTCACTAATGGATGTTGAATGCAAATGCAAGTTCGAAAATGTCCTTTTTAATTATTATTATTTTTTTAATTGGAAAAACTAATGGAATGTATTTAATATTAAAATTGTTGTCTTTACAGGTTTTGGCATACAATTGTAAAAGACTTCTTACAGATCTGTGTTACTGAATAAGGTTTTGCTGTTTATAATATATGCAAATTCTTGAATAGTGATAAAGGTATCATACAGGTGTAAGTCGTGTCAATGTGGCCCTTGAACTCTTGGAGACTGAAAAAATTATTTTCAACAAATCTATAAATACAAACTACCCTTGATTAAGATGACTTACTTCTGGATGCTTAGCCTTGAATTTTTCCACTCTCGATTCAGCATATAGCCTAGAGGGCAGAGGTAGTGTTGGCCGACCAGTATTATTTCCAGAGTTACTTGGAAGAAGGGCTTCTGGATGGTTAAGCCTTTAAAAAAAATTTAAAAATAAAGCATTTTTACCTTTCAAAACTACCATGTGACAATAATCAAATTTTGTAATTTGTTCGAATTAAAAAATAAACTATTTTTTTATTTTAAATTTACATCACCCCAGCAATTAAAACACAACCCTGAAAAAGTTTTTTCCCCCATAAAATAATGCAAGGCTTGAAAAGTGATTGAAATATGTAACAAAATATAAGGCATGGGGTCTGCATTAAAGATTAACGCGTTAAAGACAACAATTTCTGTAAATATAACAGTAGTTATTTAGTTAAATGACACAATACAAATGTAGAAAACAGAATTAATTTAAAATAAATTAATGTCTCCTACCTATTAAATAAGATAGAAGGAAAGAAAGAAAAAAGGATGGAAACAAGACCCTTCTAACAAAGAAGAAGTGGTGGACACTAATAAAAACATTGTTCTTCGTCATCTAAATAAAGAATAGCTGTAATGGTTTATTTAAAAAAGAGGAGATAAACTTACGAAAAAACCTTTAATTCCTCTGCTAACTTCTCCTTGAGTTTTAATGACTTTCGCCTGTATTTCTCCTTTGAACAAAAAAAACATTTACATTATATTTATATACCTAATAAGATTTTTTTTTATACCCCAAACCAAATACATGCTAAAGCTGCTGTACCCAACCAATTTTTCCATGGACCAATGGTGCTATGGTTTGATTCAAGTACAAAAATTGTGCACTCTTTGTCACCATGCTGACCAGTTTGTATATGGCTGCGAATTCATTGGTTGGTGACCTGTATTTGAGCATGTTAATACCAACAAGGTCTTAAATCTATGTGGTCAAGACATCAGGTACAATGTAAAACAAATCATAAAAACTAATGCTCAGCAATGGTATGTGACAAATGCAATGAGATTTTTGGGATTGCTGACCAAAATTTTAAGGTTATTTTATATCTTGCAACATTTAGACCATCCTGTTAGACAATTTATATATACTACAAATCAAATATATTTACCTTCCTGGATTCTGGCAAATTTTTCCACTCCATGCTCAATAAGGCACTCCTCTCTGCAAACTTCATTCCTTGCACTTTTTTAAACCTTTTTTTTACAAACAATGCATAGGCATTTTGGAGCTTGGTTGTCGGGAAATCTGGATACTGCTTTATTGCAAAAAGAAACAGAGGACAAAGGTATCAGAGAAAAAAAACATAAAAGTAATATAATAGTGACCTTTAAGCAATCAGGTGCATTTTCTATGAAATACTGATGTTATTGCTGGCTAGCAAGTTTGGGACATAATTAAAGGTTAGATGTTAATTCATTAATGTTTAAAGAGTCATTAAGATGAGATTAACTGTTTAAAAATAACCTTGTCAATTCTGACCAGAATATTCACAGCCAGTTAAGCATCACATTGTAGAGAATATAAAGTAGTTTTAAATTAAAACAAAAACTTTATCACTATTTGAGATTTTGGAGCATTAAAAAAAAAGAAAACCAATGGCCAAATATAATAACTCAAAGTGATCATCAGAATCAAAACCATTTATTTTTAAACAAGATGCCCAAGTTTTATCACATTCCCCAGCCTCCTTACTTGTAAAAATGAACTGTTTAGTCATTATATTGTTAAAATACATTTGCAATCTCCAAGCAGTGGAAAAATTCACATGCATAGATAAGAGGATTGTCTTATTAAATTATTCAGGATTCTCAGGATCAGCAACAATAGATGATGAGATCAACTAAAAAAATTGCCAAAGGAAATGTTGTATCAGATGACTCGGCAGAGCGCCTGGTAGCAAAGGCTGGAGATGAAGAGGGCTATTGTACTCACAACTCTCGTACACGCCACCAAGGCATGCACATTGTAAACCATACATGCTGGACCATCCTTTCCAAGACTTGTAAGATTGCACCACCAACACTATGCTAGACAACTGAACAATCTACATACTATGTTGTTTGTGCACATTTGTTGATATTTTTTGGCTTTCTCAGCATTCACATGTTCTTATAAAAAAGGCAAGCCAGGTGGATTGGACATGTTAAGGGAATGTGAAACAGCTGACTGCCAAATCAACTAATGTACTATCCAGAGAAAAAAAAAGGTTTTAAAAATTGTCCCTCAAATCCATGGACACCAACCAACATGAGCTTATTGGAAATACTTTGGTTTGCACAAGCTGGAGAAGCAAACTCACTGTTGGAGCACACTCTTCAGGGAGTACCAAACATTTTACTGTTCATTTAAACAAATCTAATTTTCTTTTTAAATTATATAATTCATTTATCCCTTTGTTATGATGAAAAAAACACCCCTTAGTTTTAGAAACAATAAAAAAAATTCAATAACTATATAATAATCACTTCTCTCAAAGGAATAATATAAACTGCATGACAAAGCAAACTAAACATGCCTTAAATAAATTTCTTACTGCAAAGATATCTCAATACTTTATTGCATGCTAAAAACCAAACTAAATCATCATATCAACCATGTCCACCCGGTAGAACACCTGCCATACTTCAATTTACAAAATTTGGGTAGGCTTCAAATGTTTAAAACAGGCTTACCTCTTTGATTAAATTTTTCTTAGAGGTAGAGGTCTTCGAGGGACCAGCAGTTATTAATTGTGCAGCATCTGTTACGATTTCCTTCATAGTCCTATATTTTCGAACCTGAAATTAATTAAAACCCTCATTAAAAAGTGGTACTTTTATAACACATTTAGGGATATTAATGTTTTGTTTGGCAAACTGACTACCTGTTTCAGAAATACCATGTAAAAATCCCCTATCAACTCTATTGGCCTCCATACTCGAAAACTCCCTTAGCAAGCCATACAAAAATCATATGACGCTCGTGGTAAATTAAATTTCTCAGATTATTTGAAAACTTCTTTGGTAAATGTATGGGATTGTAAACAATCTCAGATGCTTAGGGTTATATTTAAATGATAGAATATAAAGGTGCAGGGAGAAACGCTCTTTATAAAGGCAATGTAGTTTTACTTTCAATTACCTTGGTAATCAATTTATGGAACATCATTTTATTTTCTTCAGGTGTTCGTCCATTGACTTCCAAAGCTTCCCAGTTTATAGAATTCTCAAAAGTCTTGTAAGATTTTGTTCCATCTATACCGTTTATTTGCAAAATCTTCTGAAGGAGCAATTGCTTGTCCTCGTTTGACCACTCTGAAATGGCATATTTAAAAGATCAAATTTTACAAGTTTTCTTTTTGATTACTCATATTACAGATTTATTTCAATTAGTAATGATGAATAAAAAATATAGTAATCAAGTAATTAAACAATAATTCAGAATAATAAGCAGAGGTCACTGGGAATAAAAACCTATGGCTGCGGCTATTCGGACCCGGTTCCAAGAAGTGAGAGTTTGGGTTTATTAAAAAATATTTTTAAACTATTGTAGGGTTTGTAAGACAAAATTAGGTATCAAATGAAAAATTGAATGGACTATATTTTTGTAAACTTACTTCTTCAGTTTTACTAAAATAAACAACAAATGACATACGAATAGCATTTAGTCAAATGGACCCGGACACGCGGCTCCGCTATTCGGACCCCGGTCCCTTTAGACTCAATGCTATATTAGACTCAATACGATTAAAATTGCTTTATATTCACCAAGGATTTTCTCAAAGTTGACTCATTGTAAATGAAAAATAACACTATTCAAATGTAGACCAAGATGTCCTCTAAGGCGAAAGTCCGGAAAAGGAACGCAATTGTGGTATCTAGTAATTATTTTATGAATGAAATAGCACCAACCAAAACCAAAAAATTAAAAACCCTGATTTTCCTTGACCTTTTGCTGATGCCCATTTCCCATCACAAAATTTTTAGTAGTCTCCCTTGCTTTTCCGAAGTAATTAAAGATGGCAGCCATGGGAAACACGATTGCGTGGATAGTCCAAATTTATCTAATTTTTTCTTGTGGCACATCTAGAGGGATACAAATTTACCGAAGAAGACCTACCTATCACAGATGAGATGCACATGTTAAAACAGTATAGAGGGCAAACAGAGAACTAACCAGTTTTATACACTTCCAATGACATGATTACAGTAATATAACATTTCTGTTATAATATTTTTTTGTACGTTAAACATCAATAAATAATTTAACGTTAAACATCAATAAATAATTTACGCACTTAAATTAGGGCGGCCAAATGTCCAGTGAAAACGGGATTGTCACAATCGTACCCGGTGTCCCAAAAAGTCTCTCGGGGCGCCTAAATGTCCCATTTTTCTGCAATCCTCCGAAGTCCGGTCCCAAATTATTTCCAATGATTACTCCTTACTTAAAAGTCTTAAGCATCATTTTGTTTTGAAATTCATGTTTGCGTATATTTCAATAAATTTCTTAAATTACAGCAGGTAGACCAGCCGCACAGATAAGAATTAGTTTGGTTATTTTGCCAGCAGCACAACTGGGCAGAATTGAAGTAACTCTGTGAGAGTTGTATGCTGTAATGTTAAACAAGCGTGAATGGTTGGAGTGGCTGTCCTGACACTGCTTGATCAGAAACAATGTTAACTGTTGAACATGCAGGCGCCCAATGGCGTTAGTCGCTCGTGCGGAATGCAACAACAGTTTTTCGTGGCACTGTTGACCATGCAACACTCACAGTAGTGTTATAACCGGGTCATTCTTTGCCAACTGCGACCTTTGAGAACTATCCCCTCACTATTATTTTTTTAGCATTCTTATTTTATTATTACCATAATTCTCTCTCATCATCGTTTCCTTCTAGAATGCATTATTGTTTAACCCCCACTTTGTTTTGGTAATATACCCAAGTATTTTTTCCTATTATTTGTTTGCAAGATACTCATTAAATTACTTGGTAGAGAAATAGATTTTAAAATTAACAATAGTTTTGAATAAATCGCGGTCACGTGACATGGCTGACGGACAAATATCTCGCTCCACTTTTTTTATGGCGGTCATGTGACTTGGTCGCCGGACAAATAGTGAGGGAGATTTACGCGCCGGACGTGTTGGCACTGCCTTTATAATATATAACTTCAAATAATATTTTGGCTAGCTGTGAAGCCAGTGCCAGTGGTGATGTGGGCTCGTGTGATGGCTGTAGTTTTCCCCTCCACCACTCTGCCGCGATGCGTAAAAGACAGTGTCCCTACCATAGATCTTATATGTATAAATAAGTAGTAAGTATTCACTGCAAAATTATTGTTTTTGTTTATGATATAATAATAATAATAATAAGGGGTCTTATATAGCGCGGTACCCCAGCCTAGGGCTGGGCTAACCGCGCTGTACATAAAAAGAGACATAATCATGACATTAAAATAAACGAAGTGGATGCATACACTGCAGCGGTGTACCTAGCGAAACCATCGGCTTTGGCCTGCGTAAACCGCGGCGGTGTACCTAGTGAAATCGTGGGCTTTGGCCTGGGTACACCGCGGCAAAAATTTACCATTGGCCTGGTTTTAAGATATACTTGTTAGAGAAGATCTTGTGTGGTCAAGTGGTAGAGTGGACGCTTGGCGATAATATAGTTTGAGATCAATTCTCAGTAGGGGATCGAGGTTTTTTCCTCCCATTTTAATTTTAAAATATTTTGTAGCTATTTAAACAATTTAAATATATGTTTAAATATTATATTAAATGCACTTTATATATTTATTTATATACATACGTGTTTCAACAAGTTGTGCCGGCCTTTGACTTTGAAAATTACCGGTAAATTTAGTAATAAGACTTTAGACATTTGAAAACAAACTTAAAGTTTCTGAAAGCGCATGTATTACATGATGATCATGTGTAGTGTATGTCAATGTAACATGTATAACAGAAACATTATGAATACTAAGTGACTGATATTCTATTGTATTTCAACATTCTTCGTGTAGTTGAATATTTACATTTTAATTTTACGAACACCCAAAGAAAATACCAGTATGAATAATATTCTTACCATATGAATATTAATGTGCATGGTCGTATTTCAACCTTGAACCATCTTGCTTTCACTATGCCTTATGCATTGGCAAAATGTACATACGATATCAAAGGTTCATTCACAACACTCAGTCTCACAGCAAATCTTTTGAAAACACCTCGATTTTAGAAACTTGCGGAGCGCTAGCAAACTGTATAGCAAAGCCACAGGTCTGCGTTTACCCTTTTCATGACGGAATTTGTTTCCAGAATGGCATGGCATGTGCTATTCTCAGGGTAAAACACGACTTTTTCATCATAGAAACCATTGCACAATGGCCGGCTTGGGACAGGATTTGCGATATGTCAGAGTTTTGTTTTTTTTAATTGTTAAGAAATCGATCCTTGCCGGGGGGGTGGGGGTGAGTTATGGGCAGAGGCTTAACCAAAAAGGGGGCATTCATAAATCACGGCTCAGGATATGGGTTGTCCACAAAGGACGTCCGCATACCAAACATACCATTTGCATCCCCCCCCCTGCCAGCATTTTTTTTACTAATGTGTAATGCCAATGTAAAACTAAATCAATGATATTCAATTATTGTTAAAAGACTTTTAAAAATCACTGCAGTGTTTCGTATTTATCATCATACTGCTGTTTTGTGTTGACACATGCTTGGTATCACAATGACAATGCCTCGGACAACTTTAACTTCACGACTTCATGATCAATGTATGACTATGTGTTTCTCTTCCCGTAGAGTATTTGTGGCGTAATTATATCTTGGTGCTAACAAAATAGATTCACTGTCTTCCCATTCATTTTTACACCATGCCCTGAGGGATCACATTCAATGTTATATTTATAATGCCCCCCACCCAAAAAACAAAAAAACAAAACAACAAGCAACTGGGTGGGGGTGGGCATGAGAGAATAATTTCAAATTAAGATTCACAATCATATGATAACACTTACAATTAATAAATATATTTGCATTTCAATATATTGGGGGAGGGGGGAATAAAGTGGTTAACTTTAAAAATAAATCATGGTTTAACATTACACCCCCAGCCCCCTCCTTTCCAAAAACAATAAGAAATTCTTTACATGCACTTTGCCACATAAGCGTGGAACTTACTCAATATCTTCCCAAGGCAATAAACGAATTTTCAATAGTTTTCAGTTTTAACCTGAGTATAACATTAAATCTACAAGTACCGGTTAGGCCGAAAAGTTAAAGACTCGCAAAGACCATGTTTTGCTACTTTAAATCGCTGCGGTGTACGCAGGCCACAGACCATGATTAAGCTAGCTACACCGCCACGGTGTATGCAGGCAAAAGTCAATAGTTTCGCTAGGTACACCGCCCCGGTGTACGTAGTGCCTGCCTAAAATAAAATACATTTATGAAATAAAGAACAGCAAAAAAAAATGTTTATTCACCCATCCCAACACATAACTTTTACAAGGCAAACCATGGACGGCAGCCAGCAAGATCGTTTATCGATCATAGGAGGGGAATCACTCAGACTCAGGGTAGTATAATTTAAAAAGATGTGTTTTGAGATGCCTCTACTCTAAATTAAATTACAAAAGTCTCAAAGTGAATGTAAATTTAAAAAGATTTCTAGGCCTAGGTCTCAAAATAAACTTATGTCTAGATTAAACCCCCCACCCCTTCCTGGTTTCCTCTTTAGCTGAAGGGTATCCTCTCCCCCCCACCTCCTTGGGTGTGTCCCGTTTTTTCCAGTTCATGATTTGATCACCCTAGCCGCTAGACCTAACCTAAATTTAAATGCACTTTTACCCGCCTTGATTTTTTCCCCGGGCTGTTCCGACACTCCAGTCCACTGGGCTTACGTAATCTTTAGGTTCAATAGACAATATAATACTCCTTCAAAATAGCTTACCCATGTTTAAGGTTACACCCAATAGTCTACACAAAGAATATGCGAGAGAGCGAAGAATACAATGTCAGTGTGTACAACAGTAACAAGCAACGTGACGCTTGTTTGGTTCGTTTGCAGTCTTGAAAAAGTGACCGGAAGTCGCTACAATTTACCCAAAACATGGATCAGCTTAATTAATTAAATAAGTCTTAATATTTAACTCTACTTTTCTTTGGTTGTGCAAGTTTTTATTTTCTTCTTTATCAATTAGTTAATCCTAAGTATAGGAAATTGTGACTATTTGAATTATGATATATAATTATAGAAATTGATACCACATAAACTGGCCCTAGGACTAGGATGATTCCTGGAAAGATTGTTCAAAACTTAACATCCATTGGCGAAATGGTGTAAATTACTCCAAAATGTGGTGGTGGTGGTCAAAATCTTGGTAGCAACGAGGGCTCAATAGATATTATTAAAGCTGTATCAAAAGCGCGTTCCTTTTTACGAGGAAAAAAATTATGGCAACACCACATCTAGCCAGTGTAACTGTAATGGCGAAACGCAACCAACATATTGACAATGTTGTGGTCATTTAATTAGTGGCGGCATGCGTATCGGAACCTCATGTCTTGCTTTCGTCATTTTGGCATTGTCGCCTATTTAATCTTAAGCTCAGTGGAATCACTAGGGTTGATTAAGAATGTGTTGTAAACAGTGGCGACGCTACACCAGGTCCCACCGGGTCCCAGGACCTGTTAAAAAAAACTTGGGACCTGGCAAATGACCTGGTAAATTTTTATTAGTAGTTTCTATGCTGGATATGCTGGAATTTCTCGAGAAATACGAGGACGCATTCTACGAAAGTAAACGACTACTGCAAATTGGATGCACGATACCGGTGTCATCTGCAGAAGCAGAAAGATCATTCAGTCAACTAGCTTTAATAAAAACACATCTTCGCACAACCATGACTGACGAGCGCTTGTCAATAGTGCTGTAATATCGCTACATTCACAGAGGGCCAAGAAACTGGATTTGGAACGTAATGGTGGACAAATTTGTGGAAATGTATCCTAACTGCAGAATTATTTTGAAATGAAATTGGCCTGTCCTGTGTCAGTGTATCTTAAATCAATGGGTCAATAGTGTGGAGTGTCACGAGTGTGGATTCTCTAGATGAACGTGATTGACCTTACAAATTATATGATACATTCAAATAAATTTATTATGACAATTGACAATGTATGTAAACTTTGGGTTAAGGTAGTAGATTCATAAATATTACTTAATAAATACATTTTATTTTTAATACATTTATTTGGGACCCGCCAAATTTTTTGAAGACCTGCAAGGGACCCACCATGTTAAATTTGATGGCGTCGCAACTGCCCGGGCTCCCGATCCTCCACTGACTGCTGGTATGTTCAATATTATGCAAAAAACTAACAAAGTGAAAACAGTTGTGAAATGTTAACACATATGTTTTTACTACTATCACCCATATAAAACCTGCAATAAAGTATTTCTGTATTAAAATTAATAGTTAATTGATTTTGTAATAATAGTAGACAAAAATACTGTAACTTTTTGATAGATAAGTAAGTCAGAGAGAGCACACATTTACATTTTAAAGTTCTTTTTTATAGATTAGCGTCTGGCAAAGTTTTTGAATACATCATCAAAGTTAATTTTGTACAAGTCTGCCTCAGTCATCAGCGAAGATAAGGAATCAAGCCTTTCTTGTTTCATTGTCGATCTAATTAGATTTTTTTGTACGTTTTAACTGAGAAAAAGACTTGTGGTGCCCTCCTAATGCTTGGTGCCCCCCTAATGCTTGGTGCCCTAGGCACGTGCTTTGTTTGCCTAATGGTTAATCCAGCACTGCATCTAATGTAGGTTATTAGGGTCTGGGGGTGTTCGTTCAGACACAGAGTTACAGGCCTTGTTCTGGCTTCAATTTTTTTAATACAAGCATGTTCAATTGATTACCCCATGCCCTGAACTTAATTGAACTGTACCAGCAGTCCCTAGTATATTGAACTGTACTAGCAGTCCCTAGTATATTGAACTGTACCAGCAGTCCCTAGTATATTGAAATGTACCAGCAGTCCCTAGTATATTGAACTGTACCAGCAGTGCCTACTATACTGAATTTTACCAGCAGTGCCTACTATATTGAATTTTACCAGCAGTGCCTAATATACCGAACTTTACCAGCAGCCCATACTATACTGAACTGTACCAGCAGTTCCTACTACATTGAACTGTAAATAGTATCACCTTTCATACAGCTTTCAATAGTTTAACATATACATATATTATTAGAAACGACGGTAAAGATGATCTTACAAAGCATGAGGTTTTCATATATATAATATTTAAGCTGCTTGATTAATAAATTTTGGGAGTTTGGAATGTAAACAGCTGATCTAATAATTTTTAGTAGAGTTTGACGCCTGATCAAGCGGACCGGACCCTTAATCACGGGGAGGGAGCTTAACCCCTAGCCCCTAGCTCCCTACATGAGGAAATATGACATTTTCATCTTAAAATTTTAATTTTTCAATTTTTTTTTAAATTTTCTCTTCTACGGTCATAAAAGTTCCTAACAATCTACTCCACAGCTTGTGCATTATTTTTGTTAACAACTGGCAGATGGAGAAATGACCAACCAGGAATGAACTATATTCGGCTTGCTTTAATTTATAACATTTTAAAACTTGTTATATACATATATTATATATATATATATATATATTGATTTTGTTTCTTGTTTCTCTATAATATCTAACATGTTCCATTAAAAAAAACCACAACACCTTATTATCGTGAGTAGTCTAATCTAAATAATTAAACTACAATACTGTAGCGCCATTAAATTGATGCTAGTGCTAGTCAAACTCATCAAAGGTCATACACATAGTCATGGCGTCGTTCGTGACGTTCTTTGAATACTAATAATACCAACGCTGACACAAGCTTGAATGTATTTTACAATATTTATAAACCTGTAACAATTCTCATAAACTCACCTTAAGGTGATGACAGCCATCGTCAAAATGAAGAACATTTAAAGTTGAATGAATATTCTAATAGAACAGCCACGTTGGAATGATTGCCTCTTTCAAATAAGGAGCCAGCTTTAAACAACACGTCTGAGTAATCGGGGAAACCAGTACTTCAATTTCGTTTTCCCCAGAAAAAAAAAATCGGAAATTCCCACACGTATGATGACGTCGTCTTTTTGCACAAACAAAGTCCACTATTTAGAAACTTCTAAACCGGGGTTTCCTCAATAACTCTCAATTCCTGGTTATTGTTTTTTTAGAATAATTTAAAACTGTTGAAAATCTTCTTGATATCTCTTAGTGTACTACAAAGAATGTGACGTAAATTTCATGACAAATTTAGAGTTGCGAAATAAACTCTCCAAATTATTATGATTTCCCCATTTACTGCTACATCATAAGGTCATCGAATTTCACAAATGCAAAACTTAATTGGGGATCTTCAAGTTATAGGCGTATACCACAACCTCCCCTACCCAGCAGACTAATTCAAATATAGCTGAAAGGGACGCGACTTAAGTTTTCCTCGTAAAATCCTTCCTGGTGAATTCAGCTATTTAACTTTAAAAAGTTTATTATGAAGTGATAAGTCCAGGTACGGTGTAAAGACAGTGAGGCTTGGACTCTAACGAAGACATCAGAAATCATATGAAATAAATGGGAGAGTCAAGTTCTGAGAACATCTAAAACAGGATGAAATTAGATAGAGAATAGCAACCAGCCAACCAGGAACCGTATGCACGCTACCAGGATCCCACAATCTGGGGCCGTGCAGAGCCCAGGACAACCGAGTAAATCACTCGGGGGCCCTGGGGCCCCCAAGTGGGGGCCTCTATTGGCAAACTTTTGGTTTCTTTTCTCCAGCGACAAGCTGCGACTGAATGTCAGATATTTGAATCTGTAGGTGAAAAATTGCGGATACAATGAATTGTGAAATCAATTTGAAGTTCTTATTTCGGGCATACACCGGTACGGACATACACTGGTACGCACATACATTGGTACGCACATACACCGGTACGCATATACGCCGGTACGCATATACACCGGTGCGCACCTGTTAAGCTGAAGATTGAACAGTTCAACTGGATTAAAAACGGTCAAAACTCTTCGATCAAACAATTTTTAAGATGAAAAGCCATGTACATCTGTTCATCACTGCAGAAAGGAAGACACTTGAGGGTGGGGCAGACTGCACTGGACAGGACATGTCGAAAGAATGTCCAAATGGACAGGATACATCGAAAGAATGTCCAAATGGCAGAGAGGTAAAGTGGATGTACCACCAAAATCTCAGAGGCTAATGGACCTAGGTCAAAGGTCATTTAAAGTTGAATGAATTTTCTAACACAGGCCTGCACAACTCATATTGTAAGGCGGGCCGTAATACTTTATGAAAAAAATTATCGCGGGCCAAAAGATAATACGAAATGACTTGTGCGAGCCAAAAGGAAGTAGGGGGGGGGGGAAGCTATTAAGAAAATAATAAGGAAAAAAAATATTTCGTTACTTCACGGGCCACAAAGTGGGTACTGGCGGGCCGCGTGTGGCCCGCGGGCCGTATGTTTTGCAGGAAGGCGGGCCGTAATACTTTATGAAAAAAATTATCGCGGGCCAAAAGATAATACGAAATGACTTGTGCGAGCCAAAAGGAAGTAGGGGGGGGGGAAGCTATTAAGAAAATAATAAGGAAAAAAAATATTTCGTTACTTCACGGGCCACAAAGTGGGTACTGGCGGGCCGCGTGTGGCCCGCGGGCCGTATGTTTTGCAGGCCTGTTTTAACAGAACAGATGGATAGACGATGTGAAAACAGATCAACTGTGGCATTGACTTTAACTTGCAATTGACTGTACAGTAACATTGACTTTGCATTGTCATGGACCATAGAGTAACAATGACTGTACAGTAACGTTGACTATACAGTAACAATGACTGTACAGTAACGTTGACTATACAGTAACATTCACCATACAGTAACATTGACTTTGCATTGTCATGGACCATAGAGTAACAATGACTGTACAGTAACATTGACTTTATATTGTCATGGACCATACAGTAACATTGACTTTATATTG